AGTCACTAAATTATTATTTTTAATTAAAAAAATATTATTTTATTATTTAAAAAAATTATATGTTTTTGAGATTATAAGTTTTGGCCAAATCAATTAAATTATAAAGCTAGGTTTTGTTGTAAAATATTTTTTTTTCTTGAGATAATCTTGGTTTAAAGTTTGTGTTGTTGTTGAATTATTATTATTATTATTATTATTAATTCGACTCTAAATAAGTTATATGGAAAAAATAAAATTGAAGTGTCTCATTTTCTTATTTGCATTTATCTGTGATTCAGTTTTTTATATGATAAAATAGGGCCAAAAAGGTTTCATTTGAGTGACTCTTTTAGTCTTATTTATTTGTTGGAAAGTATTTTTTTTAATGAATTATAGAAAAGTAAATTATTTTCTAATATTTGGTAGTATAATAAAAAATAAGTTGAAAAATATTTTCCAGTATTTTATTATGTTATGGAAAATAAGTTAAAAAATAACTTATTAATGCTTTATGTTTCTCAAGTTTATTAAAATAATGAGAAACAAATCTTATAAATTAAAAATTTGAATAAGATTGATGACATTTCTAAATTTTTTATAACTTTCATAAAGTATTTTCTACCCAAAGTTTTGAGGAAAATATTTTTTAAAAAATTAATTTAAATTTTTTTGATTGAAAAATATTTTTTGTTAATTAACTTTTCTAATAATAAATAAATATAAATTGTTTTTAAAAATAATGTTTTCAAAAACAAATACAAACTTAGTCGGTAGACTAAAATCTTATTTTCCTTTTGTTCTATCCAGGAAGAAATAAAAAATCATATCTAATTGTATATTTCTAGGCCATTAAAAAATTTGAAGACGACGGAGTGGCGCATTTGCTGGCGTGTTCAACAAACATGCCGGCAGGTTTGCCTTTTTGTATTCTTTGTATATTAATCAAATTACCAAATCACTCTTGCAACCACCCAACAATAACAAACGAAAAAAACCAATATAAAAATACCATCATGCCCCTAAAGCGAAGTCTAAGACCTTTTGTGCTAAATCCTCAGGTGGGGGGGTCTGACAAGATACATGTTTGAATGTTCCGCCATCACTTTCTCTCTTTCTTTCCGCTCCCTTACAAGTCAACGCTATACATCTACACTAGCAACAGTTGCGTTTGTCTGGGTTGAACGGGAAACTAGCTTTTATTCAACATCATAATGGCGGAGAAGATATTACCGGCGACTTTATTCGTCTCCGTTTTGTTAGTCTTGAGTGTGGACCAGGCTAGTTCAGATGAATCAGATCATCGGTACAGACAAGGAGACCAGGTTCCCTTCTATGTTAACAAAGTCGGACCCTTTCACAATCCTAGGTAAAACTAGTGAATTCTTGTTCAATTGCTTTCTTTTTCTTGTTTTCATAGCTAATGCTTTTTTTTAAAAAAATTTCCAGCGAAACCTACCGTTATTTTGATCTTCCGTATTGCTTGCCAGGTTAGAGTCCCTCCCTCCAATGACACTCTTTTTTCTTTTTTTTTATCTGATTTGGTTTTGTTTGTAGATAAAACGAAGGAGAAAAGGCTGTCTCTAGGTGAAGTACTGAATGGCGATCGTTTGGTAAGTCGGCCTTTCCCTATTGAATTTCTACGCGAAAGAAATTCTGTACCTGTTTGCAAGAAGAAGTTATCAAAGGAAGATGTTGCCAAGTTTCGAGCTGTTATTCATGAGGACTATTATTATCAAATGTATTTTGATGACTTGCCCATCTGGGGGTTCTTGGGGATGGTTAATAAGGAGCAACAAAGATACTACCTGTTCAATCATATCCTTTTAAATATTTATTACAATAAGGATCGTGTGATTGAGATTACGTCTCGCAGTGATACGAAAGCGATGGTGGAACTTACTGAGGATAAAGAGGTAGATGTGGAGTTTCTGTATACAGTGGAGTGGAAGGAAACAGATGTTCCTTTTGAGAAGAGGATGGCTAAGTACTCTCAGTCATATTCGTTGCCTCGTCATTTAGACATCCATCGGAATTCCGCTATAAATTCATGCATGGCAGTTCTTCTTCTTGCTGGATTTCTTGCCGCAATCTTGCGAATCCTTAACAATGACTCTGTCAAGTAAGAATTGTGTTTTTTGGTTGATTATATCCATTTCAGTAAGTGTGTTCAGTCTTCCAATGTCCTAGGGTGTGTATGTATGGCTTTTCTTTGTTCAATGGTACTTTCTGTTTTGATTTAGATATGCTAATGACGAGGAATTAGCCGCAGATCAGGAAGAGACGGGTTGGAAGTGCATTCATGGAGATGTATTTAGGTATCCCAGGCACAAGTCTCTGTTTGCAGCCTGCCTCGGTTCCGGAACCCAGCTATTGACTCTGTAAGTGATTTGTTCGTCCCTTACTGTTATTATTGCTTCTGAAAAAATTGACATGCTTTCTTTGTGCCTTGCAGCACGGTCTTCATTTTTATTTTGGCACTGGTAGGAGTGTTTTATCCATACAACCGGGGAGCTTTACTCACCGCATTGGTTGTCTTATATTCTCTCACATCAGGAATTGCAGGATACACAGCAACCTCATTTTACTGTCAGCTTGGAGGAACAAACTGTGTATTTGCTCATGGACTTTCTTAGCAGGGATGGGTTTGGTGAAAGAAATAATTTTTCTAACTCTACTACTTGAGGTTGTATGTTAATTTTATCTTTATTTGTGGCAGGTTAGAAATCTATTGTTGACAGGATGTCTCTTCTGTGGACCTCTCTTGCTCACATTTTGCTTCCTGAATGCTGTTGCAGTTGCTTATACTGCCACTGCAGCTCTTCCTGTTGGCACGATTGTTGTGATAGCTCTTATATGGACACTTGTATCATCTCCTTTGCTCGTTTTAGGTGGAATTATTGGGAAGAATAGCAAGGCTGAGTTCCAAGCTCCTTGTCGCACCGCAGAATATCCCAGAGAGATTCCACCATTGCGATGGTATCGGCAAACAATTCCTCAAATGGCAATTGCGGGATTTCTGCCATTCATTCTTATACAGACCGAACTTTACTACATCTTTGCTAGTGTGTGGGGTCACAGGATTTATACCTTTTACAGCTTCTTGTTCATCATCTTTATTAGTCTTCTGATAGTCACTGCTTTAATTACGGCCACATTGACCCATTTACAACTTGCTGCTGAGGACCACAGCTGGTGGTGGAGGTATGCATATAGCTGTAATTTATCCAACGTCTAAGCAATTTTCTGATCCATAGCTTCGTTTCATAGTGCATATAAATTCATATCTAAATGCTGCAGATTGCTTCATATCTTGGAGATTGTGGGCTTGGGTTTTAATACAAAAAAAGAAAGTCGGAATTTTTGAGCTTTGGCTATTGATGTTAATGAAGGTGGTTGATCGGAGCAAATTCTTATCATCTGTAGATGAATTACAACCAAATGGAAGAGCAGACATTTGAATGGATGTTAACTGCAGTTTTCTGCCTGATATGTGAGTGTTAGAGGATTGATATATTTGCTTTATTTGGTGACAGGTCTTTTCTCTGTGGCGGATCAACTGGCTTATTTATATATGCCTACTGCTTTCATTACTACTACGCACGCACAGAAATGTCTGGTTTCATGCAAACCTCCTTCATGTTTGGGTACATGGCTTGCGTCTCTTTTGGTTGCTTCCTTATGCTGGGCACTGTAGGTTATCTTGCAGCTTTGCGTTTTGTCCGGCATGTATATGGTTCAATCAAGTGTGAGTAGCCTGTGAGCCCTCGTCGGCGCAACTCCAACCCAGGTGCTAAATGGAGAGCCAAAAATAAAATAAAAAAGCAATATTTTGGCTTGTTTTTCGTACTACAAGGAAAAAGCTAAACAAAATGTTGTTTTAGCATTTCTCTCATAAAAATGCTATTACTACACATCTTGCAAAAATAGTGTTTTTTTTTCAATAATGTTTTCCTTTGATTTTTTTTAAATTTAATGTTTTTTTAGTTTGTTTTCAATGAGATTATTCTGGTTTTATGATCTATATCATGGGTTTATTAAGTTTACTTAGGTTGACACGTGTTTTTTTTGTTTTGTTAATTATTTTTTTTAATTTTATTCTTTAACATTAGATTGATTAAGAATTTTTCAACTTGTTTTTAAATTCTTCAAGTTAATCAGGTTATATTAGTTTATTAAAATAATTGGGTATAAACTATATTAAAATACAATCGATTCTTTTAAATAATTTTATATAAGTGGAGTTGAGTAAAAAATTCATATTTACACCATTCAAAAAGTTAATCTAATTTTTTTAAATAACATCTCTTTTTGGAGATGCTCTAAAAAATTATTATGTATTTTTCTCACTACACCATGTTGAGATGTTTCCTGCTAATTATTATCTAGTGCATTTTACGAGGAATTTAATATAGATGAAAGTTGTTTTTTACTTGAAAATATATTAAAATAATTTTTTAATTTTTTTTATATTAACATATTAAAATAATATAAAAATACTAAAATATTATTAAAGCAAAAAAATTTAAATGACGGAAAGTGTTTTTCATTGACCAACTTTCCTAACAGCAAACAAACACAAGAAAGTTTGAAAAGTGATTTCTCAGAAATTATTTTTTGAAAAACAAACACAACTAAAAAGAAAAACACTTTCTTGAAAACCAAGCCAAATTTTTCTTTGACTGAAAAATGTTTTTCTTTGACCGAAAAGTATTTTCCGTTAATCAATTTTTTTAATGGCAAATAAACACGAAAAAGTTTGAAAAGTGGTTTCTTATAAATTATTTTTTAAAAAACAAACATGTTTTTAATAAAAAGTAGGGTGCACCTCAATGTCAAATGCCGAACACTTGTGTTATATAATTTGGATTGTTTTAGAAGACTTTGTAATATTTTTGTATACACCAATTCAAAATAATTTTTTTACTCTCACAAGATTTAAGTCATGGGTGTAAGTTGATATGTACCATTTCACCACTTCACATGCAACATAGTGGCACACTAGCAGACCACGACATGTAGGGATGGGAAGACCACAATGTGTAGTGGCAAGATGGAAGAGACCACAACGTGTAGTGGCAAGATGGAAGACTTAGTCTAATTTGTGTATTTGGTCATTATCTGTTGAGTCAGTTTGTTTCTGTTCTGTTTTTCAGCATTCCTATTCTATAGCAATGTTTGTTATTTTCCTACCATTACTGTTATATCTATATATAGCCTAAAAGAGTTTAGGAAGATATATGCAGTTATTTCTTAAACAACCTTTTATTTTTCCTATTTTCTTCTTGATTCTAAAATTATACATATTAGTGGTATCAGAGCTAGGTTACAACCATGGACACTTGCGGTTTAACAAATGTAGAATTTCATAATGATGTCAATGAAATCTTGGCACGACATGAGATCAGTTTCGATAAGGTGAACGCAGCCTTACAAACAGTGTTAACCAAGCTCCGAGTTCTTCGAGCTCCGAGTAGCCAAAACAATAACTCTTTTGAAACAAACCCCTTTGCTCGTGATGAATCCTCACATCTATATACTTCTCGCTTTAACATTACCAAAGACTACTCTTATCACAACCTCAAGTTGTCTTTTCTAAAATTTAATGGAGATGATCCAACGGGATGAATTTACAAGGTAGAGCAATATTTTGAATTTCAAAGTATTAAGTTGGAACAACAAGTTCAGCTAGCCTCATTCTATTTAGAAGGCATCGCCTTGCAATAGCACTAGTGGCTGGCAGAATTTCATGGACCACTAACATGGGATGAGTTCACCAATGTTATATAACTTTGGTTTGGTCCAACTGACCACGAGGATCCATCAGAAGCTCTGACTCGCCTTAAACAAACCCCCACCATCGCAGCTTATCAAGAAGCTTTTAAAAGGCTTTCTCACAGAGTGGACAACCTGCTAGAAAAAAATTTTAATAGCTTGTTTTATTCCAAGACTCAGAGATGACATTCGCATAAATGTGAAAATTAAACAACCTGGAACCTTGACAGATACAATAGGGGTGGCTCGACTAATTAAGGAACGCAACCAACTGCAGAAGAGACCAAATCAACAACTTCATTTCCAACCAGTTTATGTAGCAGCAAAGACCTCATCCAATCCAGTGGCTGGAGTGCTAGGACCTCCATCAAATCAACGCGATAGCCAAAGTTCCATTAGCCCCACCAGCAACCTTCCATAGAATCACCAATCAAAAGGCACAAAAACGACGAGAGAAGGTTATGCTATTACCGTGGTGAGAAGTTCGTTCCAGGACATCGTTGTGCGCGACCATAATTATTTATGATCGAAGATTCACCTCATACGGATACTGAAGATGTTAAGATCAACCAACTTGATCTAGAACTTTTAAAAGTTCTACCTGAAATTTCATTTCATGTAATTATAGGAACCGAACATCTACATACCATATGCGTCCTTGGCAAGTTAAAGAACAAGAATGTAACAATGCTAATAAATAAAGGCAACACTCACACCTTTATTGATTAGGCTATGGTCTCTAGATTCAGATTACTAATAATTCAGGGTAAGAAATTACAAGTCATGGTGGCTAACAGAGAAAAGATCAAATGTGTTGGACAATGTCAGGTGCTTATCCTCATCATTCAAGGGCTTCCTGTCACCACCGATTACTGCATTCTTCCTGTTGCAGCATGCCAGTTGGTATTAGAAGTGTAATGGCTTGTAACTCTCGGACCATTTAAGACTGATTACAAGTAGCTCACCATGAATTTCAACATTGCAGGAACTTCTCACATATTTTAGGGATTAAGGAGAACTGGCATTGAAGCCTTAACAGATAAGGAATTCAATGGATTACAAGGCTTGGGATTATTTTTTCAAATAATTCTTTCCAATAGCAACAGCGAACCATCGTCCTATCCTTCTGAGTTCAGTCAACTTTTAGCTCAATTCTCTCAGGTATTTGAAACATCAACCTGCTTACCTCCACAGCGGTCACATGACCATCACATTCCATTGCTTCCTACAGCTGGACCAGTCACTGTGAGGCCATATCGATATCATTATTACCAAAAGACTGAAATAGAGAAAATGGTCAAAGAGCTTCTGCAATCTAATTTAATAAGACCAAGCCACAACCCGTTCTCCTCCTCAATTCTATTAGTAAAGAAAGCCAATGGTGTATGACGATTTTATGTGGATTATCGAGCTCTAAATGACATCACGATGAAAGATAAGTATCCAATTCCTATAATTGATGAATTATTAGATGAGTTGCATGGCATCAAATTTTATTCTAAATTGGATTTATGTTCTAGATATCATCAAATCCGCGTGCATGATGCTGACATTCATAAAACCGCTTTTAGAACTCATAAAGGGCATTATGAATTTATTGTGATTCAATTTGGTCTCATCAACGCACCTGTAACATTTCAAAGTCTCATGAATGATCTTTTTCGTCCTTACCTCTAACACTTTATTTTGGTTTTCTTTGATGACATTCTAGTATATTCAAGATCATGGGAGAACCATCTCACTCATCTACAAACTTTTCTACAGATCTATCAACTAACAGTTTATTTGCCAAATTGTCCAAATGTGAATTCGGAGTTTTACGGGTCAACTATTTGGGCCACATCATTTCTAAGTAAGGGGTATTGGTTGACCCCATCAAAATCTAAGCTGTCATTGAATGGCCACCACCAACAGCAGCAAAAAGGGTCCATGGATTCCTAGGTTTAGCAAGTTACTATTAAAAATTTATCCGTCATTTTGGGTGCATAGCAGCACCTCTGACCCATCTCTTGACCAAAGATGGATTTCAGTGGAACAAGGCAGCATAGAAGGCCTTCCAACAGTTGAAAGAAGCACTGACATCCTCGCCAATCTTATGCCTTCCTGATTTTACTCAACAATTCATCATTGAATCCGATGCGAGTGGAATCGGACTTAGTGCAATTATGCTTTAACAAAACCAACCGATTGCCTATTTTATTGAAGCATTGAAAGGGTTAGCCTTAGTATTGTCCACCCACGAAAAAGAAATGTTGGCAATTGTCAAGGCAATCAAGAAATGGCATCCATACTTGTTGGGGAAACCTTTTACAATTCACACTGACCATAAAAGTCTCAAATATCTCCTGGAGCAACGAATTACTACACTCGCACAAACATGCTTGCTGCCAAAACTACTTGGTTTTGATCACAAAATTGATTATAAACGCGGGCCTGAAAATCAAGGTGCTGATTCATTATCACGTGTAGTTGAATTCCAATTTATATCCATTTCTTAACCATATGTAGATTGGTGGCCAATACTTCAGAAAAAAGTCTAGCAGGACTTCTTTTATGCCACCTTACTACACAAACAACCCTCTTAAGCCAACCATCAGCTGCTCCTCCGCTCCTCCGTGATGATGTTTGGTTCAAGAGAGACAAAATCTATGTGAGCCCCATCTCCCTTTTGATTTTAAAGATTTTGGTTGACTGCCATTCGTCACCCGTAGGTAGGCACTTTGGTTCCATAAAACTCTATCTTGTATCAGACAGAGTTTTTTTTGGTCTAATATGCATCAACATATGAAGGAATTCTTGCAACAATATGATGTCTATCAACGGTTTAAAACGAATTGTATGCAGCCGGCAGGGTTGCTTCAGCCTCTACTAATCCCTACTCAAATATGGACTGATGTCTCCATGAACTTTATTGAAGGATTACCATCTTCTAATGGTTATACTGTCATCATGGTTATCATTCACAGATTGATGCTCACTTTGTTGCCTTAAAACATCCATTTTTTGTTGTCAGTGTTGCCAAGGTATTTGTTGCTAATGTGGTTCGCCTGCATGGAATTCCAACTTCCATTGTTAGCGACCGGGACAAGGTGTTTATTCATGCTTTTTGGCGCACATTATTCTAGCTGCAGGGAACCCAGTTGTGTATGAGTTCAAGTTATCATCCCTAATTTGATGACCAAACTAAAGTTTTCAATCGGACTTTGGAGCAATATTTACATTGTTTTGCAAGAGACCAGCCATGAAAATGGTTTGAATGGATTCCCTAGGTTGAGTTTAGTTACAATACTTCCATTTATTCTTCCACTAAGATGACACCCTTTGAAGTTGTTTATAGGGTCCCCCCTCCCAACTTATTGGCTTATATACCTAGAACTTCTCGCATCCAAACAGATGATGAATACCTGCGTGACAGGGATACCATCCTACTTGAGTTGTGTCATAACCTTTTGTTGGCTTAAAATCGGATGAAATGTCAAGCGGACCAACACCGGCGCAAGGTATCTCTTGCCGTGGGAGATTATATGTATTTAAAACTTCAGCCCTATTGGCAAACTTTTGTGACTTTTCGAGCTTCTCTTAAACTTGCCTCATGATTTTTTGGTCCATACAAAGTATTTGAGAAGGTCGGTTTGGTGGCTTATAAACTGGCCTTACCTCTTGGTTCTCGAATTCATGATGTGTTTCATGTCATTTTGTTAAAGAAGCATTTGGGTCCAGTTACTCCTTCCTCTCTTGAACTCCCCATTGTCTCGATTACTTTGGTTGTTCTCACACAACCTGAAGTTGTTTTAGACCGATGTGTGACACGACTAAAAGATTGATGTCTTCTCCCAAGTGCAGAAGTGTTGAAGTAATAAATAACCCGGCAAGACCGGAGTCGAACCACAAGGAGGTTAATTGTACAAATTATAAATAACAATAATACAACAACAAAAACAATAACAACAAGAACAATAATAATAGTAATAACAGCAATAATAATAATAATAATTATAAAACATGTTAGTATCAAACATTAAAGTCCATATTAAGTTTACATTATACTTATTCTTACACCATTAGTGTAACCTTTTCACCTTGACATAATTAACTTAGCTAGACATAATGAAAGAAAGCAAAATAGATAAACAAAATAAGAACATAAAAGTTAACTAAGTAAAGGAAAGGAAATGAAAGGCATAAACTTAATATTAATGAAAACAAAGCATAAAAAATACAAAGAGAGAAAGGAAGAGCATGATCTTGATCTGAACACCAAGATGCCTAAATGCATGGCAAATGCCTCCTTTTATAGGCCAAAAATGGGAACTATTGATTTGATGACTAATTGATAAGTGGGTGACCAACTTTTGACTTGGTGACAATCCTTATCTTCTCTTGTCTGCCCAAAACGTCATTGATAACGTCAAAATTGGAGCCAGTTGCAAACATGAAAGTTGTAGGCAATTGTCTCAGCTTTCTTGTGTAAAAACTTCAGCTCATTTGGACTTCTAGAACTCCAGATATGGCCAAAATACCGAACAGTGCTCGGGCTGGAAGACAGATTCGGGCTTCTTTGTTGTTGCTACAATTTGGACTTGATAATGGCCTTTTTAGATCTTGGGCTCCATATGAAAGTTGTAGGCCTATGTCTTACCTTTCCATCCATATAAATTGGACCTAAATCTGAGATCTGTAGCTCCAGATATGACCCAATTACCGAACAGTGTTCCGGTTTGGATTGCACCGACATCTCTTTTCTAAGTTTGGCCATCTCTTTATCCTTGCAATTTAAGTTCTTAAAGTCATCAATCAATTTTTTCATTTATGTGATAGGCCTGCATTTAAAATGAACATTTACCATAAATTAAAGGTATCTTATATTATTAGATATATTATTATAAAATATGCTTTAGTTAAGGAGTTATTGATACTTCAAGTGTAAAATAATGATATAAAACCTTGATAAAAATGCACTTTTAAGTACTACTCAATGTGTGATATGCAGAGGTAATTATCATCCAAAATCTGAAATTTTGATGAAATGAGTCTGTGCACCAATAAAAAACGCTACTTGGGAGAATGAGTGGCGTTTCTCCAAGTCCTATCCTGACTTCCTCCTTGTGGACAAGGTTCCTTAAGGGGTGGGGAATGATACGTACCACTTCACATGCAATGTAGTGGCACACTTGCAGACCACGACGTGCAGGGATGAGAAGACCATGGAGTGTAGTGGCAAGATGGAAGAGACCACGATGTGTAGTGGCAAGGTGGAAGACTTAGTCTAATTTGTGTATTTGGTCATTATCTATTGAGTCAGTTTGTTTCTGTTCTGTTTTTCAGCATTCCTATTCTGTAGTAATGTTTGTTATTTTCCTACTTGTACTGCTATATCTATATATAGCCTAAAAGAATTCAGAAAGATATATATGCAGTTATTTCTTAAACAACCTTTTCTTTTTCCTATTTTCTTCTTGATTCTAAAATTATACATATCATAAGCTGATTTTTAACTAGATAACTTGAATTTAACTTGATTAACTTTCATTTAATTTGATTTGCATCTTACCTGCGTTTTGATATGTACCAAATTACCAGGTTTAATCTTTTCTTGTCCTTGTGCTTAATATGTTGTCTCTCAATTTAATTTGTTTGTGCTCCAGATGTTGCTCTCAATCCAATACTTGTTGTCTTTCTAAAACGAAAAAGCATTACAGTTTTGAAATTGGATTCATTTGCACATTAATTTTGATAATTTAATGTAATTTTTATGTTTATAATAAAATATTAAATTATATAATTGAATTCAATTACAATACTTTAAATACCTATGAAATTGAATTGAATTAGTAATCTTAACTATTTTATCTTTAATTCATATTTTGCCATAAAAAATTAGTGAGAAGCATGTTACGAGAGCGAAATGAGTTGAGCATATATAAAGAAGTATCAGATATTAGAATCTTGTTACCAGAAAGTATGAGATGTTCAAACACTGAGCAAGCTGCTGAAACAGGAGCATTATACAGCACTGGAATTCCGGTGGCCGGGTTGCTTCCAAAACCTTCTCCGGCTCATCCAGGAACATGGCTTAGTAACAGGCCAGTACTTTAACTATCCCTGTATTACAGTATCAGAAAGCTTGCAGTCTTTCTCCACAAACTGTGTAATGCAACAAGAAAGCTTGCAGTCTTTCTCCACAAACTGCGTAATGCAACGAGATAATTATTGGTGGTTCATTGCTAAGCATATTGGCTTGGGCAGAGGAATCATAGCACGAACAAGAAGATATAATGTTCTTCTTTCGATGGCAGTGCAAACCCACAAATGATACTGCCTAGAATTTCTAAAAGCTCAGCAATACCATTGCACTTCTCACCCTAAAAAAATAAACCGGTCGAAAATGTTATTCGTAGCTTTCCTGATAAGTAGTTGAACTAAGGAGAGGAGAAAGAGATAAGAAATCACTACTGGGAGGTTTTAAGGTTTCTGAGAGAAAAAACAGAGGAGGGTTTTTGAAATAATATTTTTTTATTTGGAATTGTTATTTGTTTTTATCTATTTTTTATAATTTAAATTTCATTTGAAATTCTAATCAATACCTTAATAAATATCCCTAACATAAAAATTGATTTAATTATTGAAATTAAATTCAATTTCTAGAATTTTAAATAGCATGTTAAGGTTTCTCTTTTTCTAAAAATAAATAAATAAACCACACCGGGTCATATACAATGGAAAAAATTTATGAGCCATTTAAATTTAAATTTAAGAAATTCATTTCTAATTATTTTTATTGGGGTAACTACAAATTAGTCCCTAACCTATTTGGTGTTTCATAGACTGGTCTCTAACCAATAGCTTTTTTGCTAGACATGACATGTCTTGACTTAAACTTGATTTAACATGTACTAGACTTTGCCTGCATTAAAGTTGAGGTTACATATTATTTTTTAAATAAAATATTTACATATACAAGTTATTTTAAAAATAAATTTAGTTAGTCAGGTTATATTTCCAATCAACTAAAAACTTTAGCTTTATTTAAATTTTATAAAAAAAAAACAACAATCTTCATAATAATATGGGAAAAAAACTTTATCCAAGAGCAAACAAATTCTACGTAGGAGTGCATACATTAAAAATATTATAAAAAATAAATTTTATTTCTTTTTTAAAATAAGTTAAATCTATATAAAATGTTTTAAAAATAATTATAAATGAATCACATCAATCTCATAAAAAAAAATTAAACATACTCAATATAAATAAACAATACTCACTATTTCAAAAAGTTAAATAAACAAAAAACAAAATAACAAAGAAGTGATATTAATCAAACATAAATGCAAAAAATATTTTTGAAAATACATATAAAAAATTAGTAATTAAAAAAATAATAAAAAATATTAAGGTCAAACGCTGCAGGCCTGGTAAGTCAAACCTAATGTTTGGCCTATAAAAAAAAGGCTCGCACGTGGAGCTTTATTTTTTTTTGAAACATTGTCTACCCCATTCTTTAGTAAAAAAAATAGAAAATATATCATTGATAGTTGTGCAGAATAAAAAAAGGGCTTTTGCTTTTTTAACACAAAACATATTTTCAATCAATTTATTCTCAAAATGCACCCTTGGAAGTTTGTTTAACCATTCCATTATCTTAAAAAAAAACATACAAAAAACCATTCTAAAACCCATAATCAACCAAAAACCTAAAATCTTTTAGAGCTTAGATATTTTTTTAAGTGTTTTCAAGTAAGAAAACACTTAATCTTAACTCTTCTAATTATATGGAACCATTTGACATAAAATTGACCGTTTTAGTAGCTAGAATCGTCGTCAATGACAACTTTCTCTTTCTAAGCCTGAATCCGACGATCCCTTTCTCTCCTCCACTAAAAAAAACAAAAAATAAAGAAAAATAAAATATGGTACCAAAATATAATGTTTATAAACTACACTATTAAACAGTTTTATTGACGGATTAATTTCGTTAGTGTGAGGCACGAAAACTATCAGTAATACTTTTAGTGACGACATCAGTGATGGAATAAGTCCATCAGAGGCATGATCGTTGGTAATTTCTCATTCCATCACCAATTCTATCGGTAATTAAAAAACCAAACACTGACGGTATTATAGACAGCTAAGCACGCCAAAAAAAATTCCCACAAGAAATTTACCGATGGAATAATTCTGTCTGCATTTTCAACGGTAATTGCAGATGGACTATCTATTGGTGATTGTGGCATGAGTGATAAATATTTCAGACTTTGTCAAATATCGATGGAATACATCCGTCGGTAAAAGTCATGGTCAATACCAACGGAATTGATTTGTCGGTGATTGTGGCACGACCCGTAAATGTTTTTCAACTCTCAATAAAATACCGATGGCTTGGTTCTCTCTATAAGGCTGTCGGTATTTATTTAAAATATTTTTAAAAAATATTTATTAACAATAAAAAACTTAATAACCAAATAAATTTGTATTAAACATAAAAAATGTAAAAATAATGTTAATGATATTCATCAAAATATTCATTACAAATTTAATATTTTAAAAAATAAAATTAAACTAATTAAAATAGTGGAGGAGGAGGAGGAGGCTGGTTGTTGCTAGGATCGTACGATAAAAAAAGAGAGCAGCACATGGATCATCACCCATCTTTGATCTAATCTCCATCACCATTTAATAGAGCTGAGCATAATTCATCGAGAGGCATTCATATTGTTGTTTCATGGCTAAGAACTCCTTTGACTGGGTGCTCGATACTGATAGAGAGCTCTCAACAACTGAGATACTATAGGCTGACTGTAATTTTTTTACCATAGTGTTGGAGAGCCCGTAGACCTGATTTTTATCAGGTCCATTAGACAATCCGACCTCCATCCATAAATCTGGATTAAAATTTAGATGGGTCGAAGGATCGTCCTTATATCTCTCTCTCAACTGGCTATTATAGGTCTCTTGAATTTTTATTTTTTTTAAATCATCATATTCAATTCAAGAAATTAATAACTTACAAAATAAAATGATTGAACAAACATACCACAAAATGCTGAGCACGGTTGTCTATGTACTGCTACACCTTTTTTTGCAGTCTTGACTCCGCACGTGCGTCTCTACAAATAGCTCCATTGGATTCGACTCACTTCCAAAAGACATAGCTTGCAAGGAAAAAAAATTACAAGTTAAATATATTTATAAGCAACAACAAATTAATTAACAATATATTTCATTTACATTTAATTTTATCATCCGCTTCGCATGTGCACTGAATAGGACGGAGCTTCCAGTGTACGTGGTCACCAAACCATGAATTTGCCGGTTTCAATTGATGACTTTGGATTGTGAGCGCATTGAAAACTACTCAAATGTCACGTGCTCAATATATGTCGCCCATATATCTCCTGAGATGAATGGCGGTTTGAATTCCGCCAAACCACCACCTCATTTTATTCTTCTTGATCGTTGTCCCTCATATATCTTTTCGTCTTTTTTGGGTGTCATATAAAAAATTACGCAACCTACTTTTATAGTAACTAATTAGAATTTAGAACATAAAATTATAAATAAAAAATAAATATTATTTTCGATGTTACCTAGTTGTTGCGTGATTCTCCCATACCTTTCTGATAATATTGTTGTCCACGCTATTCCACTCAAATTTATTCAGTATATATAAATAATTCATTGTAAATAAAAATAGTACAAGATATAAAATTACAAAAATTATTTATTAAAAACAAACTAGAAATTAAAAATTAACACCTACCTGAAATAGGTGAAACCAGGCATAGATACTAGGTCTCCACTCAGGATGTCTGGAGACCTGATTCTATTGATATAATAGAATCCCCATCGATGATTTAAACGCCAATGTAATTGTCCTGGTAGCCTCAATGTTCGTGAATCTAAAATTAAATAATAAAAAATTAATTAGTTGTTCATAAATTATGTTATAAGTATATAAAAAAACTAAAACCTAAACCAACTTACATTGAGAGGTCATCCTTCCATTGTGCATGATACTTGCGGGTGAATTGATCTCACAGGTGAATTGATCTCTACGCTGTGAAACCGCGCTAGAAGAGATTGCATCACAAGTTGATGTAGATGAATCGCTGTGATCAGCACCTAAGGAGATGTCCTCCTCGCTGCTAGAAGAATTAGCTGCAACCGTCTATTGACGACATGCTGTAGATTTCATTTGACACAACTACATAAATGTATATGAATTATTACATAATTAACTTTGATTATTTTAAAAAAATTCGGTAGCACCTCTCC